GACTTTAAAGTTCAAAACGCAAGGTGGACAGTACAATTCATTACAAATTTGAAAATTTGAGAGTTATCGTTGCTGCTTGTAGTGAAGATTCGCATCATTTATTTTTCATTTTTAAACTACATGTATATTCAGACAAACGCAGTTACAGTTTAGAAAAATCTGGGCTGGATCTCAAATAACTTTTTCTTTCTATGTAGCAACATTCCAGTAGCATCTACATAGGAATATATATCGCCGAGTTGATATGATGTTTAGGGGTTGAATTTGCTATCATGATTTCCTTAGTAAAGAGTTGGTGCTTACGAGGATGCTATTGCCACAAGTGTTCCACATGGTAGAGTTGAAGTCATCCCTTAGTTTTACGGACGCCATCATGCTTGGTTGACCGTTATTATGTTCCAATTCGCCGTTTCAGATTCTAAAGAATTATGGGTAATCTCATTGTTTGTACCCAAAAATGAAAATAGCGTTACGTCATTGGTGGAAGTTCCCTTGTTTAGGATGTCATTAGCCCATCCCAACGTTTTGGTGTACGCATTTGAAAATATTACCCAGAATGCATTAGATTCTGAAATGGTGAATTGACGTAACCACAATATCGTCTTATCTTTTTGATTGTGGCAAAATTGAAAGCGACTTATTACAGAATTTCTTTTTGCTTGACCAGCACGACGGATGCCACATTTGAGTTAAAAACTGCCTATCCTTCCGGACACCTGAGTTGATCCCCGTTTTGTTTGTACGGTTAGTGTTGCTTTAGTTTTCTATGTTGTGTTTTGTGTACTGTTGTTTGTCAGTTTATTTTCGACTTATGAGTTTGAATGCCCCTTTGGTATCTTTCGCCTGTCTTTAAAAATGACAAATTTTGAGATTTAAAAAGGCAAAATTTCGAGATTTGAAAGGGCAACAGATTTGCTCGATAATACTCCAATATGGCCCCTATTTCTAGCTAAATTTTCAAATTAGAATTTGGTTTGTAATTGGCTAATTTCACAATTGTATCAGTTAAAACAATGATAACAATATTTGAAAAAAGATGTTTTTTTAAATCTTAGTTGTAATAAGATAAAATGTCAGTTTCCCACAAAATTCACAAAAAAATCAATTGGTTTTTAGGACCAGTAACAAAAGCGCCTGCTTCAGCAGTTCCGATCTTTTGATAATGTGTATTTTTTTAATAGTGCCCTCAATATCATACATGCTACGTAACTCCCAGTCGATAAATAAAACTGTGATATTTTATTTTTCAATAAAATAAGTTTTTCCTACTTGTATTTATAAAAAAAAAACAGATTTGACTCTTAGATGCATGATTATTTTTATTAGTTGTGTGTGATTGGCTATGAACTAGATGTCAGTAACTGAGAGTACTCTCAGATCTGTACTTAGTGTTTTTTTGTTGTTGGGATGTATAAGTACCCTGCCACGGCCACTCATGACGTTCTTATGTTGTACTGTTACACCACTGTCCCAGGTTAGGGGAGGGTTGGTGCCTTCAAACTAGAATAACCCGCCACATTCTATAGATGCCTGTCCCAAGTCAGGAGCCTGTAATTGAGTGGTTGTCGTTTTTTGCTGTTTCTCATATTTGTTTTCGTTTATTGTTTTGCGTAGTTTGTTCTTGTGTTGTGTCGTTACACCACTGTCCCAGGTTAGGAGGAGGGTTTGGCGCCAACAAACTAGTTTAACCCCGCCACATTCTGTATGTGCCTGTCCCAAGTCAGGAGCCTGTAAATTCAGTGGTTGTCGTTTGTTGCTGGATATCAAATTTGTTTTTTCGTTCATAATTTTGTACATAAATCAGGCCGTTATTTTTCTCGTTTAAATTGTTTTACATTTGTCATTTCGGGGCCTTTTATAGCTGACTATGCGGTATGGGTTTTATCCATAGTTGAAGGCCGTATTGTGACCTAAAGTTGTTAATTTCTGTGTCTTTTGATCTCTTGTGGCGAGTTGTCCCATTATCAATCATACCACATCTTCTTATTTATATCTATATATATATATATGTCTATAAAGCACTCTGTAATAACTGACAACAATGATCAACTACTGATCATATTCAGTATGATCAAGACTTAATTTACAAAGATTTTTTAATACTCTCCGACTAGTTTTATGATCTAAATATATGAACAAAAAAAGTTAAACATTTTGATGTAACCAAGAATACATCTTTATAACACCCGTATACACATTCCAAAAACATAAACATGGATGGTAGACATGTTAAAGTGTAAATTTCAGGTCATACAATTATGTAGTTGTGCTAAATATAAGGCTGTACGTGTAGCTTATAGTCGGTTTGGGATGGTCTACGAGGACCCCTTTTCTTCAATGACTGCATATTGCAAACTGGATTTAAAATAATTTCACACCGAAAGGGGGTCTATCTTGGAATAAACCAACAATTGCATCAAACAACACATAGTACTGTTCCTATCTGTTATTATCGATTATACTTTATTATCCTGTACGATGTTTTTTTTTAAATCTTTTTTATCTTGAAAATTGTGAAATATTTAACTTATTCGGTTAAATCATTCGCGATCCTTTATTGAAATAATTGATTGCAAGAATGAACTACATTGATCATGTTTATAATATTGCAAAAAATACAACAACATTGTATCCTTATGTAACTTCAGTGATTATATCTTTATATAACTGGTAAATCAATTTGGTTTGTCCGAAGCGCATAACCACGGAAAGTACGCGTTGTCTTAGGAGTTAGAGCATTAATTGATCCATAATTTCTAAATTTATCAATAGAGAATTTGCAAAATGTTTGTTATATAAATGTCCGTGCTTACGCACCGACTGCTAACCTGATGACAACCTCGAAGACTAGCAGTACAATAGCAGCGATAGCGACCCCTTGCTAGAAAATGAAAATAGCACTTTATAAGTTTGGTGCATCAGAAGTGCTTTCATTGAATATAGGACGCTTTTCCCGATTATCCAAGATGAATATACTGAAATGCACATTCTTCTAGATGATAAGAAAAAAGTATGAACGAAAATATCGAACTCCAAGGTAAATCTAAAAAGGAGAAGTCCATGCAATTTACAAAATTAAATTTTATCAACCAACGGAACGAATGAAAAACAACTGTTATATTCCTGACTTGGTACAATCATTTTGAATTTCTGAAGACAATTGTTAATTAAACCTGGTTTTATAGCTTGCTAAACCTCCCACTTGTATGACAGTAGTTTATAGTTTCCGTTATGTTGACAACATTGGATGAGCAACCTGGACAGACAAAATAGGTTAATTTGAAAATAATTGGAATCAAGCAGCCAAACTGTGTAAACATACATCACAGACATAAAACACATCTAAAAAAATCATTCAAACAAACAAATAAATCTTACAAAGCTCCAGTAAAAAATATCCGTAGTTGATAGTAAATTTGACAAAGACGCCAGCAAAAAAGGATGATAGTGATGTTATTGAGATTGTGTGTTTCTACAAATGAAGGTATGCATGGTGCAGGTAGATGTTCAATAGCACCAATTAACACGCGCAAGCTGATGTTTTAAAGACCTTAAACTTGATACTCATGTTTTAGTAAAACAAGAGAGCATGCCATGTGGTTAGCGTTTAATATTGCCGACCTCTATGTCCTATATTAATCCAGGTTACAACAACTAGATCTAATAAAACCAGATGTTATAAAACCAGATGTAATAAAACTTGATTGAAATATCATATGCCTTCAAAACATCGTGACCAAAATACATTCCACAATTGGAAGAGAGGTATTTGAAAGGATGTGGGGCATGCAATAGTTTCAGAATGTAATTTAATGTTTTACCTTGCAGAATAGCTGACACAGTTCGAAAGGAAATGATACAAGAGATAAAAAGTTTGATAACGACTCGTGCTCAGCTCTAGTTTAACTATGTTTGCCCGAGCTTGTTTTAGTGATTGATTTAAAAAAAGGAGATTTGGTAACATTTTCAATGATGTCGATTCACCAAGAAATGCTCTGGGTGTAAGCAACTACCATACGAACCTCAACATTTAGCACAACCGATACCGTGTAGTAAGCTTTAAATCGATGACCAGACGTGACAAAGGGTAAATTCTATGTTGTGTTTTGTAGACTGTTGTTGAGTCAACTGATCAATTGAAAGACATGAAATGTTGCTTGTCTAGCAATATTACAGAAGGTATTTTCACGAAATCTGCTGTTGACAACACTGATCATGGTCCTTGAGCAACCAACCAGTACAAATTAAAACAACACGTTAAATAATTTCATGCGTCCGAAGCGCTTTTCTGGATTTACCTTCATCAGGAACGCTCAAAGCCGAATATTTGAAAGCCGAGGATGTATAAGAACCGAAACAGTTGAAGAGCTATCTGACCAAAATATACCTAAAAAACTGCCAAATCCATCTAAGGCCAACTTTGCCTGAGGGAGTTGAGACCTTAGTTTCTTTATAATTTCAAAATTTATAAACGGACAATTTCAGAAAGGTTTGTTTTAAATCATGTCAGTACCAAAGTACTGACTACCGAGCTGATGATACCCTCGGATACTGATAGTCCACCAGCAGAGGTATCGATCCAGTGCTGTAAAAAATAAAGTAAATTACAGACTCCTCATTTGGGACAGGCACATTAAAAATATGACAGGATAAAACATTCTTGCGTGAGTGGTGTAACAGCACAGAACACTACAAATAAGATTAGATTTTAAATAATTCATAATCTAAACATTTTGACTTTAAATTCATTATATAAATCTTGCTAACATTAAAGTTCTGGTTGCTGGTTATAAAGATGACAGTCCGTCAAAACCTTGATCGATCCTGTTGTAGTAATAAAAAGTAAAATCACAAAATACTGAACTCCGAGGAAAATTCAAAAAGGAAAGTCCCCAATCAAATTGCAAAATCAAAAGTTCAAACACATCAAACGAATGGATAACAACTGTCATATTCCTGACTTGGTACATACCTAATAAATGTATAAGAAAACAAATCTGTAAAGAAATATATGTTTTATTGTACATATACGCCTAGAATGAATTAGATATTTTCCAAAATATCAAATATAGAAAATATATAAATATATGAATAATATATTCAAACATTGGATATTTACAAAGAAGACATAGCCAGTTGTTTTTATATTTTCATTCTTCTTTTTTGAATTTAAATGATGAGACTGTCAAAAGCATACTGATTTTAGATATTGTAATAGAAATTTATCATTGTTCTCTTGTTTTTGGATACAAAATATAATAACATGTTTCATCGGGTAAAAAAACGTGAATAGCTGTTTAAACACAACTACATGACACAGTCCGGAGACTGAGCAAACAAACATTCGCACTTTAATTGTTCTTTGTGTCCACCATTCCGCACTGACAGTCAAAATCATCTGCAATAAGATAGTATTATTTAATATGAATCATCAAGGTACCAAACAAAAGTTCTTGAACTCCAAAAAGGGGCGAGACCGGGTATGACATAAGCGTAAGCGGCTCCAGCTATGCATAATAAAATTGAGAATGGAAATGGGGAATGTGTCAAAGAGACAACAACCCAACCATAGAATTACTCGCCATACGAATCTGCACTCAGTCAAAAGGTACAATCGGTAAAATTGAATCATGAAATTGTTCCTTCTATCGTTTACATGTGCTTATTAATATTAATATTAAGAACCGACTTTAAAGTTGATATAATTTCTTCGAAATTATTACGGACGCCATCATGATTCGGTTGGCCGTTATGGAATATATATGTTAGATATTATCTTTTTCATGAAGGACCAAGGATATGGTTAAATAGTCGCAGCTACAATCCCGTCGTCTTTTTCTCGGTTGTAACTCTCAATATGTGACTTATCAACTAATGTATACATGCAATGAGCAACACGACGGGTGTCATCAATGGAGAAGGGTCTGCTTCCGAAGCTACATAATTTCTTGGTTGAGTTTGTGTAATTCAGTATTTATTTTTTTCTTTCTTTTCGAAGTACTTCTTCTGGCGATTAACTCGTCTATTTTCGACTACTTCTATTTCACTGTTGGCTAGCCACAAAACCAGGTTCAACCCACCATTTTTTCTTAAAATGTCCTGTACCAAGTCAGGAAAATGGCCATTGTTATATTATAGTTCGTTTCTGTGTGTATCACATTTTAATGTTGTGTTTCTGTTGTGTCGTAGTTCTCCTCTTATATTTGATGTGTTTCCCTCAGTTTTAGTTTGTAACCCGGATTTGTTTTTTTTCAAAATCGATTTATGAATTTCGAACAGCGGTATACTACTGTTGCCTTTATTCATCTTTTTATTGTCCCTTTGGTATCTACTGCCTCTTGTTTGGTTAATGAAATGTAAATGTGGTTAATGACGTACTCAGGTCTATGTTCGGACTCCTTGGTTTTTTTCTTACGGTAAAATATTTTGCCCCATAACACCCATTTTTCTTTTCATAAAAGACTTCAATAGCTGATAAAAGGTCATTTACCAAAATTTAAGCAGATTCTAGATTTCTTTTCTTTCGATTTGAGACCCAAATAATACCAATGCAAATATAAGGTAAAAGTCCGAGTTAGCCTTTTACCGCCATTTAAAAAGATTAAATATCTCGAAAAGAAGCTCCATGACCTATCAATATGTTTAGCTTATTTTGTTCCTTAACTAATTCTCTTCTGACTTATAGTATCAATTTTAAATTCTAGATTTTTTTTTAATTTCACCCAAGTACATCCTTAAATCATATTATTTGGAAAAGCTATGTTTTGAATAATATCATGGACATCTACTATTAAGTCGTCTTTAGAAATCTGCTTCAATTGCAGGAATAAAGTACGAAATAGATATACTGAGAATCAGAAAATAAAACCCCTCAACACGCAACATACTTTTTAGATAGGAGTCATACTTTAATCACAGTCAATAATTTTCATTCCATTCTGTATCCATTCTGGTGCACAGCCTCCGCATGCATTTGTGCTGAAAAAATAAATGATACAGTTAACAAATCAATTTGTTCAAGAACATGTGCAAAATGTGTTGACTTACAGGATTGTATTTTGATTAGAAATTGAAAATGATAATTTTTTTGTATTTCCACTTTTTTCGACATTTCACATTTTTATCGACATTTCACCATTTCTATCGACATTTCACCAATTTTTTTTCGACATTTCACCATTTTTCACAATTTTTTTTCGACATTTCACCATTTTTTTAAGAAACGAGTTTGGGTTTGAGCGTTCCTGTAAATCAAGAAAGAAAGAAAAAAAAAGGGACGGACACATTTAAAAAGTGAGTTTTTCATTTTCTTGCACTGGGTCGATACCGCTGCTGTTGGGCTATTAGTTCTTGTAATACCACAAGCTTAGTAGTCAAATTATTAGGAATCAACTAAAGTTCTTACTCCCTCAAGCCATTGTTGACCTAAGATGGAATTGGCTATTTCATTAAGATCCATTACGGACCAAATTCAACACAAAATATTCTTAATACACCAAAAAAATCAAACATATTAAGGATTTTTTAACCCAGGAATTGATTACCTTAGCTGTATTTGGCCCGAAATTTTGGATCCTCAATGTCCTATTATTTGGCCTTTTTAACTTTTTTGATTCGATCATCACTGATGAGTCTTTTTAGACGAAACGCGTGTCTATCGTACAAACACTAATGAGATTAATAACTAAGGACAGAGGAGATAAATTATTGTTTTTTTTTATATCTCAACCATCACTATTTTAATCATCAGTTTATATGCATATGTCGATTTGAATTTTCCTGGCAGTTCCGTATTTTTGTTATTTTACTTTTTCCTTTCCATTCGGCTGAATTTCGCTATTTTCTTTTAAATCAGGTTTAATGAATTTTTGTTCTAAGACGTATTGGTTTAAGATTAAGGACATAAACACACTGATGTTTAAATTTTTCATTGTTTTGTCTGGCTGTAGGTGTTTGTTTTATGCATATCTCACATGAAAATAAAAAAGAGGTACTGAAGTGTCGTTATTGAAACGAGAAGATTAAAATCTGGTTCATTCTTTAGTGTTGATCAGTCTCCAGTAACATATGTTGGAACACGAGTTTATGCCTGTACCAAGTCAGGAATATGGAAGTTGTTTTATACTTGTTACGTTGATTGATAGCGTTTGATTTTGATTGGGGTTCGGTATTTTTGTTATACTTTTTTATAATACAATCATAATCTAGAATTAGCCTTATTGTAGGTGGGGCCATTTTGATGTGCATTTTAAGTTTTTGATTACAATATTCTTTCTATTTTTTTTACATTTTGATATATTTGTAAGGTGTTTGTCGAATAACGCTAATTTTTAAACGTTTCACCGTAATCCTATTATCTTACAGATGCTTTGATCAGTTTTGAAAAATAACATCTTTGCCTCTACTTTCTAGAATTGAAAATATAAAGAATGTACTGAAAATCTATTAAAAGTTGTGGCAATCAATGAAAAAAATTCAATTGTGAACAATGCACTATAAAAATCCACTGAGACTGCTGACCCTTTCGAAACACGTCATTTCTTCTCAAAACTATAGTTTGCGTTTGTCAATTCTTATATGTAATTTAGGTCCTCTATTTTCTTTGAGTCATGTTTTTCTTGTGGTTTTTAATTGCACCTTTCGTTTCTCTTCCGTTTTAAAAATAGGTCATTTGAGATATTACATAGAATTATAATTGAATTTTGTGTTCTTCGGATTTCAATCTTTAACGTACTTAATCCTCGATATTTTACTTCTTTAATTGCTCTAAAACTACGGTTTAAAGTCCTTATTTCATTGTTGACCTTAGACGGTCTTAGCTATTGTTGACAGAAATGAAAACAAAACTTGGTTGAACTTAAAACAGATTCCGACCAGGTTGTTTGACCTGGAAACCATCTCTTGTGACACATGTCACACAATTTCAAAATTAATGCATATCCAGTGTGACGTATCAAATCCAGGAAGATGAGGAAATCGTTTATAACATCAGATTGCTAATGTTGATGTGCTGATTAAATGATAGATAAATGGATAGAATACGTTACTTTACGTGTAATTGATTAACCCAGTTATAACTTCTATTATTGCTATTAAATCACATTTGATCGTTTTTAATCCTTCAAATATTTGATTGTTTTAAGTTGTTAACTTCAATGGGACCAACCATATTCTATAAATTTTTTATATAAAAAAAAATAAAAAAACAAAAATACCGAACTCCAATGAAAATTCAAAACGGAAAGTCCCTAAACAATTGGCAAAATCAAAAGCTCAAACACATCAAACAAATGGAAAACAACTGTCATATTCCCAGTAATAACGTAGTGTAAATATATACTGAATAAAATAAGCGATTTAAACAATTGAACTATATTGAGACATTTATACTGACCATACTTTATGCTACCTTTGTGAAAATTCGGTCTGACCACAATTCATGCTACCGTTGTGAAAACTCGGTCTGAACATCATTCATGCTACTCTAGTTAAACTCGTTCTATTGCAACTAATATTTATTACTTTACTTACTAGCATTTTGCCATTGGGAATCTTTTACATCTAATCGGACATGGATTTACAACGCATTGCTGGACAGGCAGTTCATGTGGACATCCTATAACATAAAGAATGTACAAATACTTGTATCACTGAACAACTCACCCATAGTGATAATCTATAATAAAATGACCACAAACAGTACAATACAATTTGACATCCTACGAAGACAAATAGATGAAATCAAACGTTTGTGGTTTTTTTTACTATGAATTTATATATTTTATATTATGTTATGCTACCTAGGCGATGTACTTGATTTGAAAAGTACAAGGTCGATGTCGAATCAATACGCCAGTTCCAGGATACGGTAGTTAGTTGAATCTGTCATGTGATTTCCATCACCACGTGACCAAATGTAGGCATCGTCACTTCCAACACATGTTGAGCGAACGGGCGAAAAAGTTTAATCTTATATTGCACAAAATATTTAAGAAATTAAAATCTAATAAGTTGGTCCCCCCCCCCCTTGAGTCGTACGGGAATTAAAATAACATACTCACGGAACATAAATTTCTAGACTACCCTGCAGAATGACGATTCTGAAAGTGCTTGAAACTTTAATAGTGCAGGAATACAGGCGCCCCTTCTTTTTGGTAAATGACGTTATAAAGGCGGGCGAAATTGTCGATCTTTTCTTGTGAAAGACATGATTCGAGAAATAGCCTATTAGACAAATGTTTGAATATCACTCTGTTGCTATGTATGAACATTTACAATTCGATGTTTCAGAATCTAAAGGACTAAAATTTAATTTTGGATGTTACGCGTCTTCTGATTGGCTGACGTTGTTTTGTTTATCAGCTCATAGACATAATTTTGTCATGTGACCGTGACGTCATCAACGTTTTTTCATGGTTTACTCCGGTTTAAAACGAAATTTAGAATTAAATTATAAGAAATGACTGTTTCTTTTCGAAATAACATAAAAAATGTGGTGCACACTTTAAAATAACCCGCCTAGCGGGTTATTCAGTGTGCACCACATTTTTGATGTTATTTCTTCATAGACAGAAAAAATATTACAGTCATTCCTTAAATAAGCAAACTCATTGTTCGTACCCCAAAATGATAATAACGTTACGTCATTGGTTGAATTGTCGTTGTTTATGATGTTTTTAACCAATCACATCGTTTTTGCGTACGCGTTTGAAAATATTACCCAGAATGCATTAGATTTTCAAACGGCGAATTATACTTAGATGTGTACATACCATAGTGGAGAAGTTCTACTGGAGCTGAAAAAAAAATTGCAAATTCTTATTATTTTTTTTTTTTGAGAAAAGCGATTCCAAATAGAGCTATTTTTTGACTAAATATATTGAAGTAAAAAGGTTTCGAAAGGCATTTTAAACAAGATTGTCAATGAATTTAAACAGGATTGTCAATGAATTTAAACAGGATTGTCAATGAATTTAAACAGGATTGTCAATGAATTTAAACAGGATTGTCAATGAAAATATCTTCATTATCTAGGTTTATCTATGACAAGTATTGAAACACAAATTCCAGCTTTATTTTACAGAAAAACAAATTATGAAATTACAATAATTTATTGCAAAAGGTAAAACCCTGATGGTTAAAATGCAATCATTACATGTACATTAGAAACATATGCTAGTAACACATGAATAAAATTCTTAATGAGTTAAGTTAATAATTATATAAGTATACAGCTAATTGACCAATCTGGACCTCATTTTCGCATTTCCATGGATTGCTTTATATAGCCCACAATAATAGACACATATTTGTATTGTGGTCGCAATAGTTATAAGTTGATAGAGGATTGCTGCTCACAAGGAAGCTATTAAACCAAGAGTTCCAAATGGGGAAGTTGAAGTCATCCCTTCGTAAATTTTACGGACGCCATCACGAGTTGGTTGACCGTTATGGAATAACCGTTTCACAGATGATATCGGATATGTTCCTTATGTCGTAACTACAATACCCTCCTTTTTTACGAATGTGACTTATCGAATTAGACTATTTACCGGATTTGTAATAACTTAAGCAACACGACGGGTGCCACATGTGGAGCAGGATCTGCTTACCCTTCCGGAGCACCTGAGATCACCCCCAGTTTTTGGTGGGGTTCGTCTTGCTTAGTCTATGGTATTCTATGTTGTGTCATCTGTACTATTATTTGTCTGTTTGTCTTTTTATTTTTGGCCATGGCGTTGTCAGTTTGTTTTCGATCTATGAGTTTGACTGTCCCTCTGGTATCTTTCGTCCCTCTTTTAGAGTTTGAGTCAAGCTGGTTAAAATTGGGATAATCGGTTTTAATTTAACTCAAAACGTTAAATATCGGTATATTTACGACATTCTATTTGTATTTAAATATGTATTTGTGTGTTATATAGATAAGAATACCTGGATTAAAATTTTTCTTGTGATCTGGTGTATCTAGAAAAGAATAGAACCATTAAAACATTAGTATATGTTCTATCTCCGTCAAGATGATAAAACAGGGAAATATCAGACTGCATGGAAAAACAAGAAAATATTGTCTTTTATGAATGTATCCAGAGGTCATAATGTTTGTGAATTAAAATCAGTTATAATTATGCGCTAACTAAATGATTACGGAGAAAAGTGATCCATACGCGAGATTCAAATGTATGTGTCAATTATTGTAACCACAATCCGTCCTCATTTCCCCGAATGTGACATAGCAAATAAGTGCCACGTGTAGAGCAGGATCTATTTACCCTTCCAAAACACCCCCGGTTGTAAGTGGGGTACTTGATGCTTAGTCTTTCTATATATATGTTATGTTTACTGTTGGCATGGTCATTTCGTTTTCGTCTTAAAAGTTTGATTGTTTCTTTGGTATCTTTCGCCTCTCTTTTTTGAATAAAACGTTTAATTCATGGCTAGGGCAAAAAAGGGTTTACCAAGTAATAAAACCGGTTGACAATACATACGAGAAGCGAACAACATTGATCAACATCACAGACTTACCTACACCGATTCCCATCATTAATTGCCGTCTTAATGCAGCCAAGGTACCTGTTAAGTTAGAAAATATAATTTAAAAGAATTCGACAAATTTCAAATTTCAAACTATTGGAAGAAAAACATCCAAATATTGCTTGAAATGAAAATAATTTATGAGTATATATATACTAGTAGTGTTTTACAGGTCAACATGACCGTCTTTGAATGCGAAGAGGTCTCATAACCATAAGCGTTAGGCTTAAACAAATATTTCAAAAAATATTATGACCAGGGGAATCGATTGAGAAACAAAAAGAACTTGACGGGTAAAATGTTTTTCATTAAATAGCTTTAGGTTTCATTCTAAATGTTCAAAAAATAAAAATGTGAAAATGTCAACACCAAAAATATTAACAACAGAAATTAGAATACAGGATAATTATAATTATATGATATATTAATCCGAGTTTGCTCTGACGTCTAATGGACTTTTTATGACTATTTGGAGTCGTGAGACGTTAGAATGCAGTACATATAGACCCCACCCCCCAACCTATTTTTGTTTCGTCTTTCACTTTGAACAAATTGTCACATGACTGCTTTGTTAGCTAGTAATATGACTGCGTTATAAATTTGTCATATGACTGCGTTAATTTATTCCGTGCGCAAATATTTTTTGAAGTTAATTTATGCATATGACCCAGTGACATATTTATATTAAAGAAATTTCCTCTTCATCCAATCTATCGGAAGCAAACTTATAGCGCATGTCAATATATTTGCATAAATAAGCTGTCATGGTTACAAATGATGTGAGGAAATAATGCGAGATAGTAACTTATTCGAAGTGAAAGTACGTCACTGTAATTGATGGGTGGATGGAAATACAACATTCGTTTATTATACAGAAGGATAGTACTGAATAAAAGTAACATATTCGTGGAGAAAATCAATAAAAAAATCGAATGATGTAGGATTTATCTACTTGAAAATTGATATTTAAGATTTCAAAACAGACACTTGCGGCTCCAAATATAGGTCGTCAGAGCGGTTTCGAACAAATAATATATAATAATATAAGATATATAATGAACATATTGTCATTTGTGTCCTCAATGAAATTCTGAAATTAATCTTGACCTTTTGAGTGTGTGCTTTTTTTTTTTTAATTTCCTCTTATATATAAAATACATAAATGTTAAAAGATATCAAATATGAATCGGAAAATCTAATTTCCACAACATAGATAGCTAACGGCTACTATACAGTATATATACAATAAATATTAAATATTATCTGTGTTTCTCCGTAGGCTAAAACATTTCATTTGACAGTTAAATCGTATGATAAATTGAAAATCACTTACAGCAATATCACGCTAGATAAATGAAAGGTAGACCGTTCCAATGTTATCATAACAATAGCATTTATCATCATTTTAAAATTCGCATTTATTGTAAATTTCAGAAATAAATGCCATCTCTTAAGTTTACAACGATGCTAAAGTCGTCACAACAATTTTTATCACCTAGAACACAAATCTTGCAATAATTCGTAATTTGATGCTACAACAGTCGGAGATAAGCAGTTTAAATAATTAAACAATGAAAATAATGCTGGTTGGTAAAAATATAAAATAACTAAAATTGAATGGAAATATATTTCAAAATGTTCCTGAAATGATTTGAATTTTCTTAGTACACACAAAAAGTAATATATTGAATGTTATCTTAGACATTTATAATTCTTTATATGCTTCAAATTGTAAGCTATAAGAAGTTGATAATTTGTTAAGCATTAATAACATATCAGTAGAAAACGTATAATTAAGTTAAACAAAGAACATTACACATGAACAAATAAATAAATAAAGGCACAGTCCATTATGAATTGGACAAGATAGTGAAAATTACTTTATACACGTGCAACCACGAGTAGCTTTATGTACCGTTTTACATAAAGGGCAACTTTTGTATAAATTGTATATTGTTCACGTATTAAACATATTGTAACTTAATTTAACTTAAATTATAAAACAATTTTAATGCATTATATGAGAGATGATGAAACATGTAGAATAAAAGAAAACATTAATATTGGCACATCAAACAATGAATTAAAGAACAAAGTTAAACACATTGAAATAAATGAATAAATGAATAAATAATTAATTAAGAAAATAAATAAATAAATAAATGAATAAATAAATAAATGAATAAATAAATAAATAAATAAATAAAAAGGTTTCAAAAATTATTATATTATAAATATACCCGCTATTATACGTTTGAAATACTTCCATTTATGTTACAGTTTTATTTTAAATTCAAGAAAAACATTGAAAAGAAAATGGTGCCGTGATTTTATTCTTTCTTATAGAAAAAAACATTTTCTTGTATTGGATAGAGAAATCTAATCAACTGAATAACTCTACTGAAATAAAATATAATAACAAAAATATATGCAAATAAAAATTCTGCATAGTCTCAATGCGTGTTTTGCAGATTAGTAGTGCAAAGACAATTAAATAACAGGTTGCAGATGTAAATCAGTATGTGCCATTAGTGATTATCGATGTATACCATTACAAAACGATAATAAGGAAGGAAAACAACCAACAAACTGGAAAAATAAGTCTGACAACCAACCCATTATCTAAAGGATTTAGCCACCAAACATATGGTCATTACAGGGAATGTGTTTCCATCAAACATGTTTACATTGCAGGCAAATACGTTCCACCAAATACGTGTCCATTACAGGGAAGGTTTGTCCCACCAAACACGTGTACATAAGAGGGAAGATGTGTTCCACAAAACACGTGTACATTATAGAGGATATAAATGTTTTAATAAAACCCTGACTCTTCACTAACAAATAAACAATTTGTTAGAACATTTCAGTTATACATGAACTATTTAAAAAATTATACACTAATTTGGATGTTAATATATACATGCATATTGATTCGTCTTGTGGTAAAGGGAAGGGTTCGGGAAAACTACAGTGATTCGTCTTGTGGTTAAGGGAAGGGTTCGGGAAAACTACAGTGATTCGTCTTGTGGTAAAGGGAAGGGCTCTGGAAAACTACAGTGATTTGTCTTGTGGTAAAGGGAAGGGTTCTGGAAAACTACAGTGATTCGTCTTGTGGTAAAGGGAAGTGTTCGGGAAAACTACAGTGATTCGTCTTGTGGTAAAGGGAAGGGTTCGGGAAAACTACAGTGATTCGTCTTGTGGTAAAGGGAAGGGTTCGGGAAAACTACAGTGATTCGTCTTGTGGTAAAGGGAAGGGTTTGGGAAAACTACAGGATACCAAACAATTTTCATAAGACTATTTACCTGCAACATCGGCAGCTGGTTTTTTCGGGGCAGGATTTACTGGGAGAGGGGGAGGTGGGTGGTGCCAATTTTGAGGGGGTGGAGGGTGATTCCAATGATTTTGAGGTGGCGGAGGGTGATTCCAGTTCTGTTGCGGTGGCGGCGGCGGTGGTTGTGAATTCCTATGATTTTGAGGCGGCGGCGGATGTTGATCATGCCTTGGTGGCGGTGGATGATCCCACCCATTTTGAGACCTTATATTACCTCGTCCTGTTCCAGAGCCCATGCCTCTGTTTTGTCCACCACCAAAATTATTCATTCCTCCTCCCATCACTGAAAAATAGAATGGAACACTTGAGTTATAAGATTACATATTCATTTGTCTTACTCAGCAATTCTAATTTAGTAATTAATATTTAGACTTGTATACGTTTTACGAATATTCTTTAAAAATTGTATGTTTTACCACTGAAACTTCCAGTTTATTGATATAAAATTTAAGGGGGGTCACCGAATTCTAATTTTTGTCTAAATATTTAAATTTTCTCGGAAAGCAAAAGAAATCGTGACATCGTGACTCGAAGTCTGTTTTCTATGTTTTCAGATATTACAGTGACACTTAAATGACTTATACAGGAAAAATTAATTCGGTGACCCGAATTTTTATATCAATAAAACAGTTTAAGTGGCAAAAATATATGAATTTTAAAGAGAACTCGTTAGACACATTTTAAAAAAAGGGCAATTGAAAAAGTCACATTATTAATATGTTATGCGACATTTACCTTCATCCTTCTTTCTATAGAAAATTCAATTTGCTATATCTCCGAAAGTATAAATGTTACTAATACATTCTTTTCGATATGCATATGCAGTTCCACATACTCGAAAGTATCATAATCCATGATATCGTGCATTTACATCAGGAATCTGATGTTCAGTAGTTGTCGTTTGTTGATGTGGTTCATAAGTGTTTCTCGTTTCTCGTTTTTTTTTTATATAGATTAGACCGTTGGTTTTCCCGTTTGAATGGTTTTATACTAGTAATTTTTGGGGCCCTTTATAGCTTACTGTTCGGTGTGAGCCAAGGTTCCGTGTTGACGACCATACTTTGACCTATAATGGTTTACGTTTATAAATTTTGACTTGGATGGAGAGTTGTCTCATTGGCAATCATACCACATCTTCTGATATCTATTTACGTACAAAAACTCGATATATTTGACTTCGATACTGATATTTAATAATTTCTTGTTATATAAAATGCAATGTAGCAATTTTATTCACTGCTGAGAAACCTAGTTTTCAAATGCATCTTACTACTTTTTTTGAAATGTTGTTAACTTACTATTCATCAGGTCAAGGCCGCTGTTACCGGTTCCGCTTCCGGTCATCCACGGATTTTGTTGACCTGTTTAAAACATAGAAAATAATTAGAAATAGATTAACCAGATAAATGACATCGAATGTGTATGTTTATTCCTCAACATTTATAGTTAGTTGAAAAACCTAAAACTGTATTAAGTCGATGGTAAAATTAAAACCTTTATAAATTCAATCATGTTATAATTAATACATTTATCATTTTTTAACGTGTAGTTGGAACGATTAACAAGTAGATATTATTGTTTTATATTCATAAACAGTGTGACAAGAAGTAAATGATACCCACTATGCCACTAGCTTATATATAATTTCTAAGATAAACTTTCAAAGTCATTCACAAATGAAAGGAATGAGAAATGAAACATCTAAACTATATAACACTCTAGACTAATTAATATTTCTGATTTACATTATGAGTCTTCAAACAATATACTGTATTGAAGACTGAGAGTATCGACACCAAAACCTAAGCACAAATACGTAAAAACATATGAAATAAGGGTAAAAGATGATGATAGTTAAAGGTTGCAGGCAAGTATTTTATACAGAATGACATGCACAAAGCTAGATTGGGTGCGCTAGGCAAGGCGGCTATTTTATTAATTCATTGTTTAGTAGATTGTATAAAACCATGTTAGTGTAAGTCAAAGGGGTATCAGCTGTCAAATTTGCCGATTTATCTCAAATTTAAATGTTTGGTTTATAACATACTAAAACGTATATCAAAATTACAGTAAGTCTTAAAGAACCATTAATAAAGTATTGAATCTTTGTAATTAATCAGTATTTCGTGCGTATTTTAGACCAGACGTCATCTTCTTAATTATTGAGATGACATCCGTAGACTTCCAATGGTCATATGATCAGATATAAATATATTTTAATCGTGCAATCGTACAATGACGTTTTTCTTGGTCTGTTCGATTTTATATTTTAAATTAACAAAAAATATGTGAATCATCGTTTTAACATTGCCATGTAAGCGGGGGGTTTGGCTAGCCATAAAACCAGGTTCAACCCACCATTTTTTCTTAGAATGTCCTGTACCAAGTCAGGAATATGGCAGTTGTTATCAGACAGTCCGTTTCTATGTATGTTGGCGTTTGGTTTTGTTGTAGTTCAGTGTTTCTGTTGTTTCGCGTTGTTTTCCTCTTATAGTTGGTGTGTTTCCCTCGTTTGTTAACCGGATTTGTTTTTGCTTAATCGAACTATGACTATTGAACAGCGGTATACTACTGTTGCTTTTGTTTAAAAATGATTTGTATGTGTCGAATTAGTCAACGAAATGGTTCTTCATGGTTGCTCCCTTGTTTCACTTTTTACACGCGCAACAAATCTTTAGCTAATGGTGATCAAATTTAAGGTTGCATCAACACGGATTCAACTGAGGTTGAATTGTTGATTCGCAGCCAATAATGCATCAGCGATATCATTACATATCTTACAAATCCTTATATGATTTGCATATTAGGGAATACGTTTATATGATTGGTCGAGAAGGCTTCCGGTAGTGGCTCTTGAAGTTATTTTTTTTTTGGATAAACAAAGTTGACGGAACTACTTTTTGTTTCTAATGTAAACAAGATGGCGGCGATAATAACACAAACCGGCTCGACGTTAAAACATTTATTTTCACTTCGCTTCCTTCGGACTTTTATTTGTTTGTGAGTAAATTGGTACAGTTTATACACCAATAAATTCCTTTAAAAAGGCGTTTAATCCTATAATATAATTTTACGAAGTTGACACAAACTGGCTGTTTTTAGCGAAATAGTTTTTTAATATTACATATTATAATTCTTTGTCTAAATTGTAAACTGCCCCATCAAGTATTCCGCCTTATTGTGATTGTCTGTTGGTGTTTATTGGTAAAATTCATTAGCTGATACCACAGTAACCACTGCTTGTATCGGGATGATTTGAAGTTTGAACAAATTTCAGTTCTGAACTATGAAAATGTAATAACAAATATGTGGTAAATCTCTAGACGAAATTTATTTTAGAAAGTTATATCTATTCTGTTTAAGCTCAGCAGGATTTGACATTTTAAAAATAATCAAAAACTGAATTAAAAAAAAAAATAAAAAAAAAAAATTAAAAGATATAAAAAGCTTAATATATGTATATATATTTATACAAGTCTAAATTGAAAACAACGTTCAAACCTATGATTGCGTTGGATATATAAAAACCGCAATTTTTATACGTTTGCATGCAAAACAAATTTCTTGGTAGAGGGGTCTAAATACAGCACAAACAACATTTTCAAAAAGACTAAAAAAAGTAAAAAAAGTATATTTTAACAAAACGCATTTGACTAACAGGTCGAACAACGGATGTTCTTAAACCCTGCTGACTGCCATTTGCGATTGCCAAATCAACGGATCACCAGATGTAACAAAATGGATCTTATATATATATATATATATAAACGTTAACAGATTAAAGTCTTTACTAATTTTAATTGTGCGTTCGTCTAATTTCATAAATCGAAATGAGAAGTCTGTGGGTTGAGACCTTAACAAAATCAGCTTTACGTTGGTGCTCTTTAGAGGTTGACATACGTATTGTAAAGTGACCTCTATATTATTAAAGACTTTGACCTTTAGATGTCTTTTTCGTAATTTGTATTGTTTGGTGGCTTTCTCATTGTGGTACAAAAATGAACCAAATTTTAAAAAAAACACACAAGACTAACAATGCTAGAGGTTCCTGACTAGGGTCAGGCGCATAAATGAGGCGGGGTTAAACATGTTTTGTGAGATATTAACCCTCTCCCTATACCTCTAGCCAATGTGGAATAAAGAAACACACAGCAATACGCACAGTAAAACTCAGTTTAGAAAATATCCGAGTCCGATGTTAGAATAGGTAACAGAAAAAACTTAGCAAAATGACAATGATACATAAATTAACAAAGGACTACTAGCAGTTACTGCCAGCTTCAGACTTCAATGAAACTAACCGAAAGATTATGTCTTCATCATTTTATGTATACATGCTAGTGTGTCAACGTCCCAGGAGAGGAATGTGTGTCAACGTCCCAGGAGAGGAATGTGTGTCAACGTCACAGGAGAGGAATGTGTGTCAACGTCCCAGGAGAGGAATGTCTATGTTGCTGCCTTTATTGCGGAAGAAGATTTTTGATAGTCAATTACAGTCGAACCTCGTTGTGTCGAACTCGGTTGTGTCGAAAACTCGGATGAGTCGAAGTAATTTCTCGGTCCCGGTAAAATTCCTGTTTGATCAATGCATAATTACCTCTGATGAGTCGAACTCGGTTGATTCGAATACTCGGTTAAGTCGAGTAAATTTTATAGTCCCGTCGAAGTAAAATTAATGTAAATTGACCCCGATGTTTCGAAGTACAAACCAAGAATTTTCGAAAGATTCAGGTCTAATGATAAAAATTCAAATCGGATGTATTTCTTACTAGTAATTAATTCAAATATATTCAGTTTATAGACATACTATAAACGTTGTGTCTATCGTACTTGAAGATAAGCGTAGTATATTTGAAGATTTTCTTACGGCTGTATGTTAATCTCCAGATCTTTTTGTAATTTTTAATTATATAAGTTCTTTTAGAATGTTTATTTTCAAATTGTTCTTATCTATAAATATTGAAAGCTGTTCATAACAGTTACATAATAATAATAAAATATCGTAAACCATCACCAAGGTAGCAGACATGTTAGTAACAAATAAAAGCATGCCTATATAAGGGATTTTGGATGTGGTTGCATGAATTTAGAGGTCACCTTTAGGGGAGGAGGGTGGTGGCGGCGGTGGTGGATCTTGTTTGCTAGGCGGGCTCTGGTGGTCGACAGGGACTCCATCAGTTATGCGGAAACTGGGGCCAGTTCCTACAACAATTTGTCTTGTATAATATCAGAGTAATAACAGTTCCATAATTTCAAGATGTTCACTCCTCTTGTTTTTTGAATTTTCAGATATTCGGAATCCTCTGGTTTTATCCATGTGATGCCATTAAAAATTTTTCCCACTAAGCTATACTTTTTCATTTCATAATTTTATTACATATAGTTTTAAAAGCCATAATTGAAAATCTTATAAAATCCTTGTTATTTTTACATAGTTTTTGAAAGATAAAAGGTGCCAATGTTAATTGTATGAAAAATCTAATAGAAAATTTCCCGCCAAATTTTCAATGGCTTATATCTCAAAATAAGCACAAGAACCCTTACTTTTTTTCTGCTTTTTAAGGTCTGTTATTTATATACTATCAATGTCTTTTAAAAAGCTTGTTATTTTGAAACAGAGTAGAGAACATCCTTAGTTAATTCACAAATGTAACTGTATTATGTAATAAAAAATTAAGGCCCGTATGCATAAAGCTACTTTAGTTAAGATATCCAATCGTAATACTAATTTACCGTAGGACATATAGAAAAATCCGTCCGTTCGGAACAAATCTTAACTTAAGTAGCTTTATGCATACGGGCCCTGCTGTTTTATCCATATATTCGACGATCACGCTAAAATATCATTTAAAGCCTTTGATATGATCACATTTGATACTTGAAAATCGATTAGCCCACACTACTGTTGCCTATCTGTAAGAAAGATACACTACGTTCTGTGATCTGTATTCCCATTTACATAGCAGTGTTATAATCTATCAGCAAAATGTTTAGAATTTGTCAATTAAACCAGAAAAAGACAACATAATACAGCGATTCATATTGCCATACAAATGCAGTGATAAGGTATTAATTTGATGACAGAAAATAGACACAATTAAGATTTCATCCTTAATCCATAACTACGAAATATCCTCTGAAAATTGTTACTGTATCTGGAAAATTTGAAGTAATGCCACTTTTCCTGTTTAATCAAAACTAATTGCTCTTTTTAAAACAAGAGAAAAGATAAAATAATCATGTATTACTCCTATGTAAATCAGGGGTGGTGTTCTCGAAGCTTTCTTAGGATTAGGACGTGTCCTAAGACCATCTTATGACAAGTCTTTGTCCCAAGTCGTGTTCTCGAAGCTTTCTTAACTTAGGATATATCACATTTTTCGTCCTAACTTTAGGACACCTAATTAGGTGTCTTAAGATCATCATATCTTCATCTTAACTTTGTGCATGCTTTTTTCACAATGTTTTACGTGAAGATAAACATGAAATGAAACGCACCATCGGTTATTCATTCGTTTAAAGAATTTGTGCATGATTTTAAACTTTGAACTTCGTGTTTTACGATACGATGACACTACGAATTCAATATTTTCATTTCAAAACAAATTGTTTTCCAGTTTAAATCACAATCCTTTTTGATATTATTTTATAATTATATTTGAAATCATGCATTTAATTAAATACATGTAATTTTAAAATTTCGTAAACAATTTTATTAATTGGTTTCGTCTTTAATAAATGTTTTATCAAACAATTACTTTAACTATTTAAAATTTCGCACATAGGATATGTTTAGGACGTCCTAACATAAGATGCGTCTGAGATAGCTTCGAGACACAACTTAAGAGTGTCCTAAGATGATCCTAAGTCCATCCTAAAATTGGTCTTATCTATGACTTAGGACGAATCATAGGATACTTTCGAGAACACCACCCCTGATGTAGTTCTCTCATATCTTCGGGGCTAAAGCCTTCTATTATAACACAGGTTTGTGGCTGCTGTTACGACTGCCATTGCAAAGTAATGGATTTTGCAACCGTGTACATTATTCAATCTGCGTTACCTGTTGCAGCTGCAATACCGCAGTAATCATTTTGAAGAAAAAAAAACGATTACTATAAATACATTTGTTGAGGTCAGTTTATGACAGCTTGTCCCATAATAAAAACGGTAATTGGTTTCGATTAGCTACTGTTGATACACTTGTGTGTTAAATTTCAAGACAGGACCTTTTCGACCCAGGAATTTTTAATAAATCAAAAACTTTATCATTTATGTCACAAACTGTATATAGCAATGACATTGATAAATTAACGTCCGAGTATAGTTTATCATTATGTCACAACGAATTATTTTCCAAAAGATTGTTTTCATACAAAATACGTAGAATTCTTAGGGAGCTACCATTTGATTTTTATGAATACTTAAATTAACATTTTTTTAAATTATCAACAAAACTCTATGCACATAAACTTGGAAAAGTAAAAAATAATAGAAAATTAAATTTTCACAAAAAAAATTGAAGAAAAAGTTAGAAATGCAAACTTAATTAAAGTCTAACTCTTTTTGGAAAAACAAGAAGTAATATTTATTGATAGACAAAGGAAAGCATATAAAAATTTCGAGAATGTTCATTTTGTAGAATATGGATAATGATTATTCGAATTTATAATGTCTTGAAAATGAGGACTTCGAGTTAACTTTTTTTTAAATATTTAACAAATATACTAAATTAAAATACATAGCAAGAAATATGAATATCAAAATAAAGTTTTTGCTGCTAATAAGTCAAAGGCTTATGGTCCTTTATAAATTCGGCATTATAAATCTGGACAGAGGACTCTTAATCTATCTGAATTGTATATGAAAGGATTTAATGCTTTAAGGCAATACTTTTTATTGATATGTTTAACCTTTTTTCTCTCTATCAGTCGAATTATTCATTTGTTAATTACAAGGTAAGTATTAAAGGAAGTTTTCAGTAAACTTAATAGTGTACACTCAGTAGTTTTATTTTTTCAGTATCACATTTAGAAAACTGCGACAAATGACCCGTAACCTATCATATTAACATATAAATATGAATGTCATAAAATGTGATGAATATGTCACAAAATAAACTTAATGTGTTACAGCCGTTACGTTTTCTGCCATAAATTAACTCTTCAATGTCGTAAAATAACGCCGTTCTTGTCAATTGTATTAAATGTACTGACAAATCTTTTGTTTGTACCTTCAAACACGCCAGATATAACATACTCTTTTTTTCTTGGTCATATTTTCCATCTTGCAAAGATTTTTTTTGTAAAGGATTTCGTGTATACAAAATAAACCCGGTATTAAAGAAGTACACTTGTGTCTGCTTGAATTAAAATATTCATTAGTTGTTCTCATCACTTTAAAGTCAATTTTAATTTACATGACGACAGAATTCGTATCAAAATAAGTATATAAATCGCTTATTCATTACGGATTAAACTAACATGTATTTAAGGAATGACTGTAATATTTTTTCTGTCTATGAAGAAATAACATAAAAAATATGGTGCACACTGAATAACCCGGGTAGCGGGTTATTTAAAAGTGTACACCACATTTTCTATGTTATTTCGAATAGACAGAAAAAATATTAAAGTCATTTCTTATAATTTAATTCTAAAAAGGATTAAATCATGATAAAAACGTTGATGACGTCGCAGTCACATGACAAAATTATGTCTATGAGCTGATAGACAAAACACTTTCAGCCAATCAGAAGACGTGTTACATCCAAAATTAAAAAAACTATTATTACACCAAAAGCTTTTTACCTAAACAAAAGATAAAATGTAATTACAAAATTTGAACAAAAAACTTAAAAGATTACTAATATTACACCCAAAAGAATTTGCTCTTTTCGCTAGCTCTTCATTGTCGGGGAAACAACTCGTTCAAACATATTTCTTTAAGGGAGCTACCATTTGATTTTTATGGGGGGGGGGGGGGGCTAGGATGAAATTTGAAAAAAATAGGCAGGACAGTGGTTTTGAGTAAAAAAAAGGCAGGACCGAATAGAGTGAAAAATAAAAAGGCAGGACAGACATTACAACTAAATAAAGTGCAGGACAAAATTTTTCATCCTAGCCCCCCCCCCCCCCCCCCCATAAAAATCAAATGGTAGCTCCATAAACAGGCACAATTACGGAATCGACTACTAGTATTATAACGACAACATAATATAAGTAAACCTATATAATATATTGCAATTTTTACATTTTATCCAATACATTTTTTGTGCATACATGCTATAAAACAAGGTAAATAATTTGTAATTATCATCTACGACGAATACAAAATTTAACATGCTAACAATTTTAATATGTGAGATTAATGCGCGCAGATTTAATTCTCAGTCACTGTAAAGAAAGTTCAAAAGTATTCCCCGGAAGTAACTGTGCTATATATACAGGAGTTTCCTCTATTTTTACCATTTGATTCCGTTTTCTAATCAGTTGGAAGACCTATTTTGCAACTCTTTATTTATATATATGAAAAGAAAGAATTTTTTAAATGGGCAGAGCTTAGAGTTGCATACTCTTTTCTTCCTTTCCTAGTAATTAGCAAATCTTTCCTTTATCCCTTATACTGATCTACCTTTAGTTCTCTCAACTGGGTTTCGAACTATGTTTTACATTACATTTTAATTTTACTTAGAACTTTCTTTTACAGATGACATTGAGAAGATTTTTAGATGATACTAAACATTATGTAAATAAAACAGTACATACCACCCCATGCTTGTCGCTTATGTCTGTTGTTGGCTGAAAATAGATAAATGTCAATCAAATATCAATAGGAAATCGATTTTGGATTTGAAACAGTCATTCACATGACATTGAACGCCTATATAAATATAGATTCTTACATTGTTTCCAATGGATTATTGGATTTATCCAATCGAAATAATTATATTATCGAATTTTAAAGTCCGAGCCTCGTCGAGGACTTTAAAATTCGATAAATCAACTATCGAGATTGAATAAATCCGGCAATTCACGAGTAACTATGTAAGAAACTGATTCCCTAATGATTTTTAAACAAATTTTCATTTTAGATAAACGATATCCCCTTCTAGTGCCTCCGCATTTCTGATTTCTACATGTATGTCATACAAATATAAAGTTGTCAATTTCTCTAAAACCAATTGCCCATTTCAATTTTTCCAGAGAGCTGATAAAGGTTATGACCCTTTAACTAAGCCAATCATATACTGATATCATCGGCTACCACACGTTGATTATTTTTTTTAAAACAATGAGTTCAGAATACAGATTTGGTTTGTCTTGATATTTTTTCATGATAATGCCAGTGCTAATTTGAAATTGTAGAGTAATTATAACTTGTCATTTAACAAATATATCCATTAAAATTTTGTATAACCAATTTTATAAATTATGGGGTAAAAAATTCCGCAAAAGTTGCTGAACTAGAATGACACTCAAATTTTTTACTTCTTATGGTGTAACAATTTACCTAACACTATGTAGCATTCTCGATAGGAGTGCCGTAAAATTGTTAGAACGCACGAACGGCCGGACGTAGTGCTTACCTATAGCCCCCTTTGGTTTAAATCTGGATATTTATTTATAGATTCAAATAAGTTCACCACTTGCCAGTTCAACCCATACCCTGAAGACTTTGTAACTTATCATATGACTAAATGCTGAATATCAATCAGTTGATTCATGCATTACAAACAAATGTGAAAAAGTAATATTTTAAAAGCAAGTTTCTTTGTCTCTCGGTTACACTTGAAAAGTGCGGAAAACCTATTAAGCATTCCAAAAGAAATGCCATTAATTTAGAGGATACACGAACTTAAAGACGGAGTGAATTCTCTTCGGCTTACCGGAAGTGGACTAACATAGCAAAAATGTGAATAAGAACATGATAGTATTTTAAATATGTTGAGTGACTATGAACATAAATTTCCAACCCTTTGTCTTCGGTACTAAACGAAAGATAAAACCGTCCATATTTTATCGCCTTTTGTGATTAAGTAACCTATAATTTATAACGTTCTGACACATTCTTTTTCTGTCCATTTTCACAAGAACTTGATCTACTAATTCTAACATACACTGTACAGTTTTTACTCATTTTTTTTGTGCTTGATTAAGACTAAATTTTTACCATTACATTACATATATTTCTGTTTGCAAATTACACCTATATGGGTCAAGCAAAAATACAAACTATATATAACACTGTATTAACACAACAATCAAGAATTACAAGTATAAACATAAAACAAAAACACAAAGTTATGTTAATGTAACTTTTGATGGACATGGACCTCATAATCACAACTCTAAAGATTGCTTTATAAAGTCAAAAGTTCAGATTCATGATTTAAAATTGTTTTTAGGTATTACAGGTTCGTCGTCATAAACAATTAAACATGCAATGTCAAGGCATATCAACAGGTACCAATACGTCTAGAGATAGTGATTAGCATACTATGTATGCAACATGATAAACTATAAAGGTAGAAGATATACTGAGGCGTCCATGCTGATGAAGGAGGTATCAAACACTTTAACTAAAATAGATTTGGCTCGTTTAATTTTCATAAAAGTATGACAAAATATTTAGATTGACTTATTGACAAAAAATATGAAAAATTCAAGAAATTTGAACCACACAATTACCAGAAATAATTTCATTAGATGTATAGTTGTTTGACAAACACTAACTATGATCATTGAGAAGCTTGATTTCACTTTACTAACAGTATGGGATTAAAACGTTCAGCTGATATTTAAAGAGCTAACTCCCTTAGGTTATCTGCACCTACTTAAGCGAATAAATACAATTCGAAAACAACAAGTTTATGAAATGTTACATGTCAATTACTGTTGAATTCTACCAAACAAATAATACATATTTCACAAATATAAAATTCCATAACGTAGAATAAAATATCACTTACCTTCAACAGAAGCAATGACTGTAAAATAGAAGAAAAACAGTATTTAGAACGACTGGAATGATATTTATTTCCTTAGAATTAAAAAAAAAAATTCACAGAAAAAATGTCACAATAGTCTTAATATTTTTTTTATGAAAAAAAATGTACACCAATATTTTCTCTATTATTTTTTTATTTCTTCTGTTATTTTTAAGCAAGGGAAGTTACATCGGATATGGCATTTTTATGATAGAATTTCCCGCCGTGATTTCTAGAAAATGTAGAAAGAAAATACGGCCACTATGTTTACATCATCTCTATTCGAATTATTGACCAGAAATGCGTAATACACAGTTCAAGTAAAAGCTTTCCTGGAACATGATAAAACAAAAGAAACGTGTCCGTTTTGGGAAATTATTCATTTATATATACACATAAACAAATTGACCATTCTAACATATGTTAAAGTAATAATATTGAATCTAATACAAATAAAAGTTGATTTTATATGAACAATAAATGTTTAATGTACTTAAATTAGGTTGAAGAAAATGCTTTCCTGGAACATGATAAAACAAAGGAAACATGTCCGTTTTGGGAAATTATTCATTTATATATAACATAAACAAATTGACCATTCTAACATATCTTAAAGTAATAATATTGAATCTAATACAAATAAAAGTTGATTTTGTATGGACAATAAATGTTAAATGTACTTAAATAAATGTTGTCTACTCTTTGGTCGGGTTGTTGTCTCTTTGACATATTCCCCATTTCCATTCTCAATTTTATTAAATTAGAAAACACCTAATGACAAATATAACCAAAAGAGATCTAGACAAATTACAACCGCCAACAACATACAGTTCACTATGCAATATGTCAAGCCGTACAACGTCTCGAATCTACTAAAAATATATGAATAAATTAAACTTAAAACAGAAATTAACCAAGATCTGCACTTAAAACCTAATCCTCCATATACATTAAAATGGGAAGTAAGACAACCATTGGGAGGTTCCTAATTCGGAACAAGACTATGCGGCGGCGTTAAATTTGCGTTTTCCAGGAAATATATCAAATTTACATTAAGTCACTTTAAACGGGGAATACTAAGTTCAGATACTGTACAATTTAGTAAACTATCTTAAGAATAAAAACCGAATAAAAGATAAAAATAATGATTACGGTAGACTTACCCAGCAGGACTAGGCTTAAAATTGCAATTTTAAATTCCGCCATTCTGTTTTGAAATGTTGAGTCCCTGATACAGAAAATAGTCTAATATTTCATTTGTGTTGATTCAACCAAATACACAGATAATAATACCACGTGACCAAAATGACAATTTTTATGATGAAAAATGTATGATTTTGGTTACGAACGGACTCCGCTGTCGTGAAAAGACAGTTTTATGCTCAATCAAAAAGATCACATATAGTAACCCTAGTTTTATGTACCTTAATTAGCGTCTATTTTAAGAGGAGATCATGTTAAATATAAGGCTAACATTGTTCTTCGATCGTCATGAGAAATATCTGGGTGTTTGTGACGTCATTTTTAACTTAAACTATATGGATCCATTAAAGATAAGATACATGTATTTCTATTCCTGTACATATTGTGATGACCTATGTTTGTAGAAAAGCGATTACTTTAAATACATTTGTTTGGGTCAGTATATGACAGCTTGTCCCATAAGAAAAACGTTTAAATTGAAACCAAAAGAGTGAACGAAACTAACTTGTACGGTATGGTTTTTTCTCATTGTTGAAGGCCGTACGGTTGCCTATAATTGCTTACATCCACTTTATTTGAACTTTGGTGGGTAGTTGTCTCATTGGCAATCATACCTCATCTCCTTATTTTTATATTAATCTTATTTCTATCATAAAACATAATTTAATGGACTGATTATTTTACAACCTTAAGGTCCGCATAGAAAGCCTCAAACAACATCTGTTTTGTGTGCATATCACATTACATTAACTGCGTAATAAAGGATTTAAGTATTGTCATTCACTTGGAACCTCAAAATATACTCTAACGACACTTACCAAGGAGCCTGTAGTTCAGTGGTTGTCGTTGGTTCATGTCTGTCGTATTTGTTTTTCGTAAATTGTTTTGTTATAAATTTGGCCGTTAGTTTTCTCATTTGAATTGTTTCATATTTTTCATGTCGGGGCCTTTTATAGCCGATTATACGGTATGGGTTTTTCTCATTGTTGAAGGCCGTACGGTTGCACATAAGTGCTTACGTCCGCTTCATTTGAACTTTGGTGGATAGTTGTCTCATTGGCAATCATACCACATCTCCTTATTTGTATACGAGTTGGTTGACCAATATGGAATATATGTTTCACAGATGACGACGGCTATGTTCCAATTGTCGTAACAACAATCCCACTCTCTTTTCCTCGAATGTGACCTACCGAATTAGACTTGTCATCAAATTTGAACTTACATGAGCAATTTGACGGGTGCCACATTTGGAACATGATTTGCTTACCTTCCGGCGCACTTGCGATCACGCCGGTTTTTGGTGGGGTTTGTGTGGTTCAGTCTTTAGTTTGTCTATGTTGTGTTTTGTACACTGTTGTTTCTGTTTTTGGTCTTTTTTCGTTTTTTGCCATGTGATTGTCAGTTCATTTTCGACTGATGAGTTTGAATATTCCATTAGTATTTTCCGCCTCTCTTTAAGATATCAAATTTGTTTGTTACATTTAACCATCAAATAAGCTTTTTCGTTATTCATCTTACGTAACTTGTAACACTTAACCATCAAATTCAATTTTTTGTGGTAAGTCAACTATCATAAGTTGTAACATTCAACCATCAAATTAGCTTTGTGGTAAGTCAACTGTCATAAGTTGTAACATTCAACCATTACATTAGCTTTGTGGTAAGTCAACTGTCATAAATTGTAACATTCAACCATTAAATTAGCTTTGTGGTAGGGCAACTGTCATAAGTTGTAACATTCAACCATTAAATTAGCTTTGTGGTAAGACCTGTCATAAGTTGTAACACTCAACCATTAAATTAGCTTTGTGGTAGGTCAACTGTCATAAGTTTTAACATTCAACCATTGAATTAGCTTTGTAGTAAGTCAACTGTCATAAGTTGTAACCTTCAACCATTAAATTAGCTTTGTGCTAAGTCAACTTACTTCACTTGTAACAGTTAACCATTAAATAAGATTTTTCGTAAGTCAACTTAAAACAGTTGACAATCAAATTAGCTTTGTGGTAAGTCAACTAACTTAACTAGTAACTGTTAACCATCAAATTAGCGTTGTCGTATGTCAACTTACCTATCTTGTAACAGTTAATCATCAAATTAGCTTTGTGGTAAGTCAACTTGTAACACTTAACCATCAAATTAGCTTTGTCGTTCGTCAACTTACTTATCTTGTAACAGTTAAACATAACATTAGCTTTGTGGTAAGTCAACTTACAATAGTTGACCATCAAATAAGCTTTGTCAACTTACTTAACTTACTTCAAACCCTTTCTATCTGAAATTTGTTAGTTTGTTTTTATGTTGTGCTGTGCTGTTAGATAACTACCCCAAGCAAGGGAGGGAGTGCAGGGCTCACAATTACGTTTACCCTTTCTTATATTATGTATGTGCCTGTATTAAGTCAGGAGCCTGTTTACCAGTGGCTGTAGTTGGTTGTTGTCTGTTATAAGTGTGTTTCGTTTATTGTGTCTATAAGCCTAAATCGGGTCGTTGATTTTCTTGTTAGAATTGTTTTACTTGACGGGACTGTGTATTGATTACTATACGGTATATGATTTGCTTATTGCTTAAGGATGTTCGCTAGTTTGTTTCAAAATAACAAGCTTTTTAATAGACTGTTATAAATTGAAAGTATATGAATAAAGGAACTAAAAAAGCAGAAAAAATTGAAAGGTCCGTGTGCTTGTTTTCGAGATATAAGCCATTGAAATTTTGGCGGGAAGTGATTCTATCTAGACTTTTCATACATTTAACATTGACACCTTTTTTCTTTCAAAAACTATGAAAAATAACAAGGATTTTATAAGATTTTCAAATATGGCCTTTAAACTATATGCAATAAAATTATGAAAAGAAAAGTAGGGATTTGCGGGCAAAATTTTTAATGGCACTACATGGATAAAATCAGAGGATTCCGAATATCTGGCAAAAATTCAAAAACAAGAGGAGCGAACATCCTTAAGGCAGTATGGTAACATGTAGTTGTTAACATTCTCGTAGTTTTGGTTCTGTAAAGAATAGAAAATAAATAATATTGCATAAGGCAGAATGTAAATGAATGGCTTGCCCAATAATATTGACAAAATGCAATTGTGAAAATAAATTTTCGCCGTGGCTCTGTCGTGCGAAATAATAGCAAGTTGCGAAAATTAATATTCCGTCCTCGATAAATCCACCAGCCCCAGTCCCAACCCTTGAAAGAAGGTCTTCTGCATAGGCTGTAAAAATGGTAAAAAGTCAATTACAAAATATTTTCCACATTTGTATAGTTATGGAAATGAAAAACTTCGAATAAAAACCGAGCTTGTGTAAATGAATACATCTGTTGTGACAATGAAGAGGATAATAAAAAAAGATCAAAACAAAACAAACAACAATGCTCGCACCTTGACCTAGATATGAATGTTATTAAAGTTTACAAGGAAAAATGGCAAAACGATTTGATGTCAAATGAAAGTAGTAAGCAGAGAACTATCTAAAAATGGAGAGTAATAACGCCTAGTCAAATATAAAATCATTACGATATGACAGCAGAATTTGGTACAAACAGAATCGGTCGAAATCATAGTTTCCACTACACCAGCTAGATATGTAACTTTTATACTGGTCAAATAAGGTCAGATTTCTGGATCTCATTTGGCAGTGTATTCCAAAGTCGAGTTGCCTCATTACAGAAAGGAATAGTTCCTATGCTTTAGTGTGACGTCCATTTTCACTGAACTAGTACACATTTTTTTTAAGGGGCCAGCTGAAGTCCGCCTCCGGGTGCGATATTTTCTCGCTGTGTTTAAGACCCATTGATGGCCTTGGGCTGTTTTCTGCTCTTTGGTCGGGTTGTTGTCTCTTTGATACATTCCCTGTTTCCATTCCCAATGTTATTTGTTGTTCTAGGACTTAATTAGTAGTATAACTTAAGGATGTTCGCTCCTCTTGTTTATGAATTTTTGCCAGATTTTCGGAAACCTCTGGTTTTATCCATGTTTGGCCATAAAATAATTTTGTCCACTAACCCATACTTTTCTTTTCATAATTTTATTACATATAGTTTAAAAAGACATATTTGAAAATCTTATAAAATCCTTGTTATTTTTTCATTGTTTTTGAATGAAAAAAGGTGCCAATGTTAAATGTATGAAAAATCTAGAGAGAGTTATTTCCTGCCAAATTTTCAATGGCTTATATCTCGAAAACAAGCACACGGACCCTTCATTTTATTCTGCTTTTTTGGTTCCTTCATTTATATACATAGCTATCAATTTGTAACAGTCTTTTAAAAAGCTTGTTATTTTGAAACAGAGTAGCGAACATCCTTAACATATATTAAACAATCATCGTTACAGCCTCTCAACATTTTAAAAAAATTGGTTCTCTATAGCAATTTTTAGAATGTAAGAATATGTAAATTTTTTTTTACATGAGAGGCGAGATCTTAATAAAGTATTTGTCTTGTCTTACAAGTTACGGTCACACTTAATCTAAAACTTACAAAATAAAGTATTTGTCTTGTCTTACAAGTTACGGTCACACTTAATCTAAAACTTACAAAATAAAGTATGTCTTGTCTTACAAGTTACGGTCACACTTAATCTTAAACTTACAAAATAAAGTATTTGTCTTGTCTTATAATTTACGGTCACACTTAATCTTAAACTTACAAAATAAAGTATATGTCTTGTCTTACAATTTACGGCCACACTTAATCTTAAACTTACAAAATAAAGTATTTGTCTTGTCTTATAATTTACGGTCACACTTAATCTTAAACTTACAAAATAAAGTATATGTCTTGTCTTACAAGTTACGGTCACACTTAATCTTAAACTTACAAAATAAAGTATTTGTCTTGTCTTACAAGTTACGGTCACACTTAATCTTAAACTTACAAAATAAAGTATTTGTCTTGTCTTACAAGTTACGGTCACACTTAATCTAAAACTTACAAAATAAAGTATTTGTCTTGTCTTACAAGTTACGGTCACACTTAATCTAAAACTTACAAAATAAAGTATATGTCTTGTCTTATAATTTACGGTCACACTTAATCTTAAACTTACAAAATAAAGTATTTGTCTTGTCTTACAAGTTACGGTCACACTTAATCTTAAACTTACAAAATAAAGTATGTCTTGTCTTACAAGTTACGGTCACACTTAATCTTAAACTTACAAAATAAAGTATTTGTCTTGTCTTATAATTTACGGTCACACTTAATCTTAAACTTACAAAATAAAGTATTTGTCTTGTCTTACAAGTTACGGTCACACTTAATCTAAAACTTACAAAATAAAGTATTTGTCTTGTCTTACAAGTTACGGTCACACTTAATCTAAAACTTACAAAATAAAGTATTTGTCTTGTCTTACAAGTTACGGTCACACTTAATCTTAAACTTACAAAATAAAGTATTTGTCTTGTCTTACAAGTTACGGTCACACTTAATCTAAAACTTACAAAATAAAGTATTTGTCTTGTCTTACAAGTTACGGTCACACTTAATCTAAAACTTACAAAATAAAGTATATGTCTTGTCTTACAAGTTACGGTCACACTTAATCTAAAACTTACAAAATAAAGTATATGTCTTGTCTTATAATTTACGGTCACACTTAATCTAAAACTTACAAAATAAAGTATATGTCTTGTCTTATAATTTACGGTCACACTTAATCTAAAACTTACAAAATAAAGTATTTGTTCTCTTATAATTTACGGTCACACTTAATCTTAAACTTACAAAATAAAGTATATGTCTTGTCTTATAATTTACGGTCACACTTAATCTTAAACTTACAAAATAAAGTATATGTCTTGTCTTATAATTTACGGTCACACTTAATCTTAAACTTACAAAATAAAGTATTTGTCTTGTCTTACAAGTTACGGTCACACTTAATCTTAAACTTACAAAATAAAGTATTTGTCTTGTCTTACAAGTTACGGTCACACTTAATCTTAAACTTACAAAATAAAGTATATGTCTTGTCTTATAATTTACGGTCACACTTAATCTTAAACTTACAAAATAAAGTATTTGTCTTGTCTTACAAGTTACGGTCACACTTAATCTAAAACTTACAAAATAAAGTATATGTCTTGTCTTATAATTTACGGTCACACTTAATCTAAAACTTACAAAATAAAGTATTTGTTCTCTTATAATTTACGGTCACACTTAATCTTAAACTTACAAAATAAAGTATATGTCTTGTCTTATAATTTACGGTCACACTTAATCTTAAACTTACAAAATAAAGTATATGTCTTGTCTTATAATTTACGGTCACACTTAATCTTAAACTTACAAAATAAAGTATATGTCTTGTCTTATAATTTACGGTCACACTTAATCTTAAACTTACAAAATAAAGTATATGTCTTGTCTTATAATTTACGGTCACACTTAATCTTAAACTTACAAAATAAAGTATATGTCTTGTCTTATAATTTACGGTCACACTTAATCTAAAACTTACAAAATAAAGTATTTGTTCTCTTATAATTTACGGTCACACTTAATCTTAAACTTACAAAATAAAGTATATGTCTTGTCTTATAATTTACGGTCACACTTAATCTTAAACTTACAAAATAAAGTATTTGTCTTGTCTTATAATTTACGGTCACACTTAATCTAAAACTTACAAAATAAAGTATATGTCTTGTCTTACAAGTTACGGTCACACTTAATCTAAAACTTACAAAATAAAGTATTTGTTCTCTTATAATTTACGGTCACACTTAATCTTAAACTTACAAAATAAAGTATATGTCTTGTCTTATAATTTACGGTCACACTTAATCTTAAACTTACAAAATAAAGTATATGTCTTGTCTTATAATTTACGGTCACACTTAATCTTAAACTTACAAAATAAAGTATATGTCTTGTCTTATAATTTACGGTCACACTTAATCTAAAACTTACAAAATAAAGTATTTGTTCTCTTATAATTTACGGTCACACTTAATCTTAAACTTACAAAATAAAGTATATGTCTTGTCTTATAATTTACGGTCACACTTAATCTTAAACTTACAAAATAAAGTATTTGTCTTGTCTTATAATTTACGGTCACACTTAATCTAAAACTTACAAAATAAAGTATATGTCTTGTCTTACAAGTTACGGTCACACTTAATCTTAAACTTACAAAATAAAGTATATGTCTTGTCTTATAATTTACGGTCACACTTAATCTTAAACTTACAAAATAAAGTATTTGTCTTGTCTTATAATTTACGGTCACACTTAATCTAAAACTTACAAAATAAAGTATATGTCTTGTCTTATAATTTACGGTCACACCCAATCTAAAACTAACAAAATAAAGTATTTGTTCTCTTATAATTAACGGTCACACTCAAACTAAAACTTACAAAATAAAGTATTTGTCTTGTCTTACAAGTTACGGTCACACTTAATCTAAAACTTACAAAATAAAGTATATGTCTTGTCTTATAATTTACGGTCACACTTAATCTAAAACTTACAAAATAAAGTATTTGTTCTCTTATAATTTACGGTCACACTTAATCTTAAACTTACAAAATAAAGTATATGTCTTGTCTTATAATTTACGGTCACACTTAATCTAAAACTTACAAAATAAAGTATTTGTCTTGTCTTACAAGTTACGGTCACACTTAATCTAAAACTTACAAAATAAAGTATATGTCTTGTCTTATAATTTACGGTCACACTTAATCTAAAACTTACAAAATAAAGTATTTGTTCTCTTATAATTTACGGTCACACTTAATCTTAAACTTACAAAATAAAGTATATGTCTTGTCTTATAATTTACGGTCACACTTAATCTTAAACTTACAAAATAAAGTATGTCTTGTCTTACAAGTTACGGTCACACTTAATCTAAAACTTACAAAATAAAGTATTTGTCTTGTCTTACAAGTTACGGTCACACTTAATCTTAAACTTACAAAATAAAGTATGTCTTGTCTTACAAGTTACGGTCACACTTAATCTTAAACTTACAAAATAAAGTATTTGTCTTGTCTTATAATTTACGGTCACACTTAATCTTAAACTTACAAAATAAAGTATGTCTTGTCTTACAAGTTACGGTCACACTTAATCTTAAACTTACAAAATAAAGTATGTCTTGTCTTACAAGTTACGGTCACACTTAATCTTAAACTTACAAAATAAAGTATATGTCTTGTCTTACAAGTTACGGTCACACTTAATCTAAAACTTACAAAATAAAGTATTTGTCTTGTCTTACAAGTTACGGTCACACTTAATCTAAAACTTACAAAATAAAGTATATGTCTTGTCTTATAATTTACGGTCACACTTAATCTAAAACTTACAAAATAAAGTATTTGTCTTGTCTTATAATTTACGGTCACACTTAATCTTAAACTTACAAAATAAAGTATATGTCTTGTCTTATAATTTACGGTCACACTTAATCTAAAACTTACAAAATAAAGTATTTGTCTTGTTTTATAATTTACGGTCACACTTAATCTTAAACTTACAAAATAAAGTATATGTCTTGTCTTACAAGTTACGGTCACACTTAATCTTAAACTTACAAAATAAAGTATTTGTTCTCTTATAATTTACGGTCACACTTAATCTTAAACTTACAAAATAAAGTATGTCTTGTCTTATAATTTACGGCCACACCCAATCTAAAACTAACAAAAACCTAAAAATAAGAAAAAAAAAGCAGATGAAAAAAAAACACAAAAAATACACAGCAAAAGCATGAATTCTTACCTATTGCATTAACTACGATTTAGACAAAAAAATAGAATACGATTCTTTTGGTTTCAAGTATTAATAAAGCGGAATTTTGAAATAATATTTTGTTATAAACAGTCAGTTTGGCCCAAATTTATCAAAATAATATAAAAAACATCGCTAATGTATTATTGAATTGAAAAGGTCTTGCCATGACAGTCAAAAATATATATGGATTTTGGGTTGGACTTACATGTACATGTATACAAATCAATAATTTGACAATAACAAAGATCAGTCAGAGGTCATCTTCCATGACATGCGACACATCATATTTATGTGTTGCACTGATGTGTCAAAAATATAAACAAGTCTAAATTGAAAACAACGTTCAAACCTATGATTGCGTTGGATAAAAACCGCAATTTTTATACGTGTGCATGCAAATCAAATTTCTTGGTAGAGGGGTCTGAATACAGCACAAACAACATTTTCCAAAAGACAAAAAATGTGAAAAGTATATTTTAACAAAACGCATTTGACTAGCAGGTCGAACAACTGATGTTCTTAAACCCTGCTGACTACCACTGGCGATTGCCAAATAAACGGATCACAAGATATAACAAAATGGATCTTATTATTAATTTATTACCAAACAGAAAACAATAAACTTGCGGAAAAGATGGTATACCGCAAATATGAGGTGCAAAAATTTGTACACCATATACATTATACATAACACCAACAACGAAAACATATTTTATTGTAAACATCATTGGATTATTAACAAATTGAAACAAATATCATGCATCATTTACTCAAATTGTAAGTAAAATTAAAAGCAAAATGTCAGAAATAATATTTGAATATAAACAGTCACTTGAATTTACATTGTCTAATTTCCAATTCCAAAGTACAATAAACGGCCCAGCCTCCAAATTGTAAGTCAACTTGCTTGTTTCATTAAGTATTCAACAAAACTTTCAACTGTTAACATCTGCGATTTATTCATTATTCTACTGAACCGTTTGAATTATTATTAATTTACTGCAGGAAAGAAACGGGTTATGGAGGGTTGTCTTATTGGCACTCATACCACATCTTCTTATATCTATTAGATAAACAATAACTTAAGGTTGACTGAAAAAATGTTTATATCAATTGACTTCATGATTTTTTTACGTTGCAAATCCCCGTTAATCTTTGACGTAATTTCTTTATCCTGTTTAGACTCTTTTGGTTGTATTTTTAGTTTTCTTGAAGCCAATGTTTAATGTTTGCTTCAAATTGCATATTTAGGCTTTATAACAGAGGAATGATTAACAGTGCTATATGTGTAGTGCTATCGTTTGTCAACCTTAAAAATTAAACTAACGTTTATCGGAATGAGCTGTAACTATTCACGTTACTATAGTTCGAGGTTTATATTTCAAACAGGACTCAAATAAGCTAAATCGTGATGCAAGCTTTAACATCTTACAGCCGTTATGAGGTTAATTTCTAAAAGCAACAATAAAGGTTCAAATATCACACAAATTTGTCGATTTTATTGCAATGTAGGATGTTTTGCGTAACTAACACTGCAATTGATTGTTTCAAAGTGTATTTGCTAACTGTGGTCATTGTATATTTTTTACGTTTCCCGAAATCTCAAACAGAGAGAATGGCTCTCTCTCTCTCTCTCTCTCTCTCTCTCTCTCTCTCTCTCTCTCTCTCCAGGAGGCATCGGATTTAACTTCCTAATTCTTACTAGACGTGTCTGTGTATTTATGCATCCCGTACAGTGTAATGGCCGCTCCTCTAAAATGTGAGTTTAACAGTCGACTGATTGATAGTTTTACGCTGCATCAGCACAAAAAGGCTATATCGCGGCGAAAGCTATTTCAAATATTATAAGAAAGACATTTTAAAAAGCAGACAAAAAGTCTTACAATTTACCTAAACTTTAGTTTAAAGCGAAATTACTTATTTACAAATAAAACTCAACATTAAGATATTGTGATAAAAAGTTAAAAATCATTTTAAACTTATAATTACAACTTGTTTACAATCTGGAATATATTCTAATTTCTTTTAAAAATGAAACAATTGTTTGAACAGGAATAATATTAAATAAATCATACAAATTATTACATTGAAATGTTTTCTCCAAATATCGGAAAAATAAATACAATCTGTTAAAACATGTTTAATTGTATACTTGTTTAACAGAAGAATGGGATATGACCAGATGACATATTACTAAACTACGGTTAACCCTTGGGGTATCTGTCATCGACTTAATGTTTTCGTTTGTCCCATTGATATTTTATAACTTTTTAAAACTCATATATATTGGTCATCCCATGGCCGAATTCTGGAATAACAAAATGGACAAGATAGAATTATGACAACTACAATGGTTAAACCATATCTAGATGTAAGGCTGTACAATCTGTAAAAGAAATTGAAAATCTCCATAAAGAATGAAAAACAAGGGTCAGTGATCAAATATAAAATTTTCCCCACAAATCGAAATAGAGATGATATTAATCTATAATTGTACGCGTTTTTACACGAAACTTTCATATTATATACTGAAACATTATCAAGGACTATAAATTGACCTATCACATCGTTGCCATGGAGTTGTTTCTCAGGCCTAAAAATGAAAGTGTGGTGTCCTTCAATTTCGTCGGCCATTATTTTCACAGTTATCATATTCATTTCAAAATTGTAGCGAAGGTCAAGTGTGAGATGATTGCCATAAACCACACTAGGTTGGAACTTAGTGTCGTCAGTGAAAAAACAAAACCGTGATAATACAGATTGTATACCCTTATCAATCGGACAAACTTCAGCAGTAAAGTGGCCAACAACTCTGTACTTTGTCTCAATTTGTCCTATTTTTAGTTCAAACAGGTCCTCGGTAATTTCAACATATTGTTGATAGTCTATATCTAAGTCAACAATGTGATGTAAATATTTCGTATTTTCAATAAACTTTAGAACAGCATACGGCGATTTTGTCTTCTTTACACCCGCAAACATTTCTACAGGTGTGTTGGAAACGGTCTTATTGTCAGGTGATAAGTCAAGATGGCGATGAAGTGTAGAGCCATTAAAACCAAGAAAGTCCGTTTCGGAGTTTATTGTCATTGAAATAGTGATAATATCTGGTTCATACAATGCAAAAACTGGAATAACCATATTTTCTGTCTGAGGTTGATCATCATGACAGTCCACAGAGAGGTCTACATTGGTATTAAGTAAACTCCCACCAAAATTGTATGTATGACTTACAATATTTGGCGGGAAATCATTCCTTTCGCGGAAACATATACCATGTTCGTTTTCACAGACAAATGCTGTAACTGACCATATCTTTCCATCATACATGTCTTGCATATAATTTGAACTTATGGAGCTCTGCGTCAACCCTATTTCAAACAATATTTTGTTTTCATAATATTTCTTATCTCTAAATTTCTTTCTCAATTCAACTTTAACATCAAAGTTAAGACGTTTCTCCGAACAGTCGAAACTTTTGTTCACATACACTCCTTTGTATTTAAACATATTTTGTGTTGAACCACAAATAGTAACTCCTGGCATTGGATCCATTGACACTGTGTGGTGGTCAGCTGATCTACAGTTAAACCGGCTATTCGTTGAATAAAGAAATTCATATTCTGGAACTGAAAGCAATTTAGCTAATATAATACTAATTACTAATGAATTAATATACGTATAAACCATATCTAGACAAAGGTAATTAGTTATTATGGTTCTCAGAGAATTCTAGTAACATTGTGACCATACATCTAAATGTTCGTAGTTTATTCTCAAATTGCACCCACGTTGCAATTGTCATTATTATGCATTGCTGTTAAAGACAGTTTTTTTTCACTACTTAGTATTTGAAAGTCAATGCATGCTAAGATCCGGCAAAATACAAAAAGCCTTCTCATTCATGCTTTAATGATATATACTCGAATATGTTCAGAGTCATTCGAAATTATTTCAAAGCATTTATAATGTCGAAAAAAAAGAGATTTGTGATACCATTTAATGAGATTAACAAACCAACGCGGCTACATGTTCAGAAAAACGACATTACTTTTAATTATGGTGGCCGGATGCGGCCATTTCGTGTTTTCGCGTTTTCTCCTTTCACTTTAACGCAAAATCGAGAAATCGAGAAATCGAGAAATCGAGAAATAGGGAAATCCAGAAATCCAGAAATTGGGAAATCGGGAAATCGAGAAATCGAGAAATCAAGAAAACGAAAACGAGAAAACGCGAAGGCGAAAACGCGAAAACGGGAAATAGATTTCTCGATTTCTCGATTTCCCGATTTCTTGATTTCCCGATTTCTCGATTTTGATTTCTCGATTTCCCGATTTCCCGATTTCTCGATTTCTCGATTTCTCGACTTCCCGATTTCCCGATTTCTCGATTTCGAGGTGTGCAAAGTGAAAGGAGAAAACTCGAAAAGGCGAAAAGGCGAAATGGCCTCATCCGGCCACCATATTTAATTCCTTTTTTGTTTTTGATTCAACAAAGAAAGACCTATGGTTTTCCGGTTTGAATAGTTTCGCCTTTTTAATGCTGTTTATAGCTTACTATACGGTAAGGTTTTGTTCATTGTTAATGGCCGTACGATATATACACGTTCATTGGTCCCTGTTGGATATTTATTTCATTGTCGACTTTACTCAAGTTCCTTATTTTCATATAGAATAACACAGATGAAGATGTAATACTGTCAGTAGAAGTCAAATTAAAAAGAAAACTTTTTATAAAACAAGTGCATAGGAGATGAGTCTTTCCTCTCTGTGTTCCACAAGTCGTTTATGCAACAACAATTTTGAACAATCCTGAACTACATCCTTGTATTTACCAAATAAGGATTTTAGAGGAAAAACGCAAATCTGTGCTTATGCTTATTAATAAGTAAATAATGCAAAACATATCGAAACATGCACACGCGAAGTTATGTACAATATATACTACTTACATGATTGGTAAAATATTAATATGTTTACTGGCACCACCAGTATAACAGCGATGGTAAGGAAAAAAGCGTGTACAAGGGATTTATATCTACCTGCAAAAAAGTCGTCACTATATATTGTTTAAAGCTTCATTAAATGAATCACGACTTATACTCAAAATCGTTCCAGAAATTGTTCAAAAATTACAATGTAACCTTTAAATCATTCAGACATGTGACCTTTTAGCTCAACTGGCCTAAAGGGACAAGTGAGCTTTTCTCATCACCTGGCGTCCGTCGTCCGTCGTTGTCGTCGTCCGTTAACTTTTACAAAAATCTTCTCCCCTGAAACTTCATAGCCAAATTCAACCAAACTTGGCCACAATCTATATTGTGGTATCTAGTTTGAAAAATGTGTCCGACGACCACGCCTGCCAACCAACATGACCGCCATGGCTAAAAATAGAACATAGAGGTAAAATGCAGTTTTTTGGCTTATATCTCTGAAAAAGATTTAGAATAAATCTGACATGGGGTAAAAATTTTCACAGGTTTAGATCTATCCGCCTTGAAATTTTCAGACGAATCAGACATTCCGTTGTTGGGTTGCTTCCCCTGAATTAGTAATTTTAAGGAAATTTTGCAGTTTTTGGTTATTATCTTGAATATTATAATTATAGATAGAGATACACTGTAAGCAGCAATAATGTTCAGCAAAGTAAGATCTACAAATAAGTCAACATGACCAAAATTGTCAATTGACCCCTAAAGGAGCTATTACCCTTTATAGTCTATTGTTAATAATTTTAAGTAAATTTTTGTAATCTTTTACAAAAATCTTCTCCTCTGAAACTACTTAGACAAATTCAACCGAACTTGGTCACAATAATCATAAGGGTATCTAGCTCTAAAATGTGTCCGATGATCTCGCCAGCCAACCAACATGGCCGACATGGCTGAAATAGAACATAGGAGTAAAATGCAGTTTTTGGCTTATGTCTCGGAAACAGAAGCATTTAGAGCAAATCTGACATGGGTAACAATGTTCATCAGGTTTAGATCTATATGCCCTGAAATTTTCAGACGATTCAGACAACCTGCTGCTGTCCCTGAATTGGTGAATAAATAAATAAATTTAGGGAAATTCTGAAGTTTTTTGTTATTATCTTAAATACTATTATAGATAGAAATTTATTACCGACCGTGCGAGGGCTATATAGCCAGTCAAGGTCGTTAAAACCCCCATAAGTAAGTAGATAGAAATAAACTGTAAAACGCAATAATGTTCAGTGAGTAAGATCTACAAATAAGTCAACATGACCAAAATTGTCAATTCACCCCTTAAGGAATTATTGCCCTTTATAGTCGATTTTTCGTAAGTTTTTGTATTCTTTTAAAAAAATCTTGTCACTTAATCTGCTGGGCCAAATATAATTAAACTTAGCCATAATTTTCAATAGGGTATCTTGATTGAAAAAAGTATCCGATGACCCTGTCAACCAACCAACATGGCCGCCATGGCTAAAAATAGAACAAAGGGGTTTACTATAGAAGTCTAAGGGAAAAAAACAATTTCAAATGGTCACAACTTGAAAACTAATTTGAATAATGATAATGGGTCTTCAGTAACTATTGTAAGACTACAATGGGATGACCTGCTTTTAATTTAACTACTGGGCCAAATTAAAGCAAACTTGGCATCAATCATTATTAGGGTATCTAATACACTTTTTGTACTATTAATTATGATTTTAACCTTATTTTACATGATTTTGAAAACAACAGTAGATACAGGTGAGCGACAATGGCTCTTGGGAGACTCTAGTTCAGATACAGATTAATTAATGTTGGTTCTTTCGATGCCAGATGTTCAAAGATTAATGTTGTTATAAAATAGATGCATGGGAGATGAGTCTTCTCTCTGGGTGTTCAAAATTCGTATATCTTATTATAAACACTTCTGAACTACATCCTTGTATTTACCAAATAAGTATTTAAGAGAAAGAAATGCAAGTCACAAAGCTGTGTTTGAAAATATCACGCAAAACAAATAGGAAAATGAACACGTGAAGTTATGTCAGATATCGCAATACTACTACTTACATGATTTGTAAAATGAAAACATGTTTACTGGCACCACCAGTATAACAATGATGACGTACAGGCCGGCAAGTACAAGTAATTTGCATATACCTGCAAAATATTGTTAAAAAGGGAGCAAATCAAGAACTACAATACACAACATTCTAGAAAATGTTATAAAATTACAATAGATATAAGAAGCTTCTTTTAATATTGGTCAACAGTTTAAAATCATTTAAACTTTCCCATTAACTAATGTTGGTTCCTTCGATGCAAATTTTTAAAAGATTATTTTTGTTGTAAAACCTTTGATGCATATTATTGTATTAATGTACTTAGACTCCCAATATGCCTCGTAGGTTAAGCAGCTTTGTTTTTTAAATCTTTAATCGAAGAACAATTTAAACCACGTACCTACAAAACAAGTCATGTTTACGGCTGATTGCAATTTGGTTTTGGTTCAGAATCTGCTTTTAATTAAATGTTTGGGGCGGGGATAATTTATTTAAAAAAAACCCTGCTTAAATCAATAAAATTATAGTCTAGAACGTTTGTAAGAACCTTAAAGTACAAACATGATTGATTGTTTTTAATTGCGAAACGTTCATTGGCCAATATTTCATGCATGTTTAGGACAAATACACACTTGGACGTGGTACTGAAAATTTCAATAAACTGAGATAAGATTTTTTTTTAAAAGGGCGTGAAACTCTTAGCTAATAAAAACTTTCTAGTCAGACACATTATGAATTTCAACTTGCCTGACATGGATAAACGACTTGATAAATCTATAAAAAAAAATCATATTTTTTTGAAATATGGTAAGACAGTTCATTAAATATAAGAAACTGGTACATGTACGTGTGTTTGTGTGTTGTGTTGTCTGACAACTGTTCAAAGTCAAATTTGGTTTTGGCGTAACCACTCTGTAGCATCATCCCTGGATATAGGTACCCCCGAAGCGGTGGAAAAACAAATGTGAAGTCAGGTAAGTTCGACTTCTTCTTATTTTCATTAAATTCTACGTTTTAGTGACAAGTAAAGTTCTGTGATACTGATCCCGAATAATGTAGCTACTATTTAAGGCTGATTGTGATCCTTAATTGGCTGTCTCTCTCTTTAAATTGCAAGAATCGGATAGAGTGGTACCTGTTCAACGAAGCATGTGACGAGTTCAAACTTGATAAAAACATATTTCCGTTGGTTTCCTTTTATAGTTGATGTGTTTCCCTCGGTTTTAGGTCTTTAACTCGGATTTGTTTTCTCTCAATCGATTTATGATTTTTGAACAGCGGTATGCTACTGTTGCCTTTATTTATCCTTCATCTATTTATTGGAACAAAAGTATATCCCATTTAAGCCTGAACCATACTGTATTTCGAAAAAGAACTATTGTTTACTCATAGAAATTCGTGTAAAAAGAGCAGATAAACTGTACGGCGAATTGTTGTTTACAGTACGGGGATAAGAATAGGTACTTTTTGCCATCACTGTTTCTTAGCTTCGGAGGTACTCACCAGTGGTGATGTTACACAATGGTAACTAGACATGCGACAGCCCTTTCAATTTTCACAGGCTTTTTTTTTATTTTGTATTGATGTACCACTGAAACAAGTTAAAGAGAGAATTTGACTTCAGCAAACATGTTAACCCCAGACCCGCCACATTCTGTATGTGCCTATCCCAAGTCAGGAACCCGTAATTGAGTGGTTGTCTTTGATGCTGTATATAATATTAGTTTTTCGTGTATTGTTTTGCACATAAATCAGGTCGTTATTTTTATTGATTGAAGAGTTTTACATTACTTGTAGTCATGTCGAGGCCTTTATGTAAGTTTTATTGCTTATTATGCGGTATGGTTTTGCTCATTGTAGCAATAAAATTATGAAAAGAAAAGTAGGGGGTTTGCGGGCAAAATTTTTAATGGCACTACATGGATAAAATCAGAGGATTCCGAATATCTGGCAAAAATTCAAAAACAAGAGGAGCGAACATCCTTAAGGCAGTATGGTAACCTATAGTTGTTAACTTCTATGTCATTTGGTCTCTGGTTGAAAGTAGTACTGTTGGCAATCATACCACATCTTCTTAATTTTATGTTAATAACAATGCCATTTGTGAAACAAATACAACGCTGCCTCAATCAAAGATTTTTTCGAAGACCGATTATTGCCACCGTAGTTTATGAGATGAAATAGACATAAATCTTTCTCAGATTACTGAACCTAAGATGATGTTCGTGTTTAAACGAGCTGACGGTTAATGTATTTACTTTAATCAAATGACAGTTCTATTTATGAGAACTTTTCACAACGTTACACAATATGTATCTCATATAGTTTTCCTGAGAGGCCTCGATGGTCGAGTTTTATAAGTAGTCGAACTAATGAATCACTAGCCGTAAACACTGAGGTTGTGAGTTCGAAATCCGCAGGTGGCAGGTGCGCTCGACTCCAATCTTACTTGAATAGGATTGTAAGTTTTCATACCGAAGATCGGTGGTTCTCTCCGGGCACTCCGTCTCCCTCCACCAATAAAAACTGACGGCCACGAAATAGCACAATAGTACTGAAAGTGGCGTTAAACACCAATCAATCAATCAATCAATATTTGTCCAGTACCGAAACAAATATAACTGCCTTTTTTTAACAATCCTTCATCTACGTGTCACAACTTTTCTTACTTACCAATTTCTTACGTAAATCAAAGCAAATCAATACAAAACAAGGAAGTAAATGTTAACTTGTATATAAATAAGTCTGTGTAATTTGCTATTTTCCATTTTTTGTTTGTAACTGTTTATTCATGTATATTGATTTATTTAAACCTATGCAGTTTATACTAAGTATACAAGACCGTTTTGAAGACATATGCTTATCACGAGTTTTCTAATCACGTTTTTTCTTGTATATAAAATCAAAGTTCGCAATAAGATAGATATATGACCTTCTAGACATACTCATTTCTTGTATGACCAGCATAGATCAACAATATAAAGAACAGGTGTTTGTCTTTCTTTTTCATACTTCCCTACAAATCAATTTGTACAAGATGTGATCTCAGTTTTTGGTTCTTGTAATATAGAGTTATTGATTGATGCGTGTATGGATAACGTCAAGTGGCAAATATTACATTGATATTCAGGAGTCGATGATAAGATAATTATGATGATATATGAATATGAACTCTGATTTATTCTACATCAACCTAAGTATCTTTTTAAACGTGCTACCCGAGACACGATGCATTTAATTTAAAGGATGAAATTTGAAAAAAAATAGGCAGGACAGGAGTTTTGAGTAATAAAAAGGGCAGGATGAGACACTTGCAAAAAAAAGTCAGGATGACAATTTAGGTATAAAAAAGTCAGGATAAACTTTAAAAAAAAAAGGTAGGACCGAATAGAGTGAAAAATAAAAAGGCAGGACAGAGATTACAACTAAAAAAAAATGCAGGACAAAATTTTTCATCCTAGCCCCCCTATAAAAATCAAATGGTAGCTCCCTTAAGCTTATAAAATATATGGCCATAAACGCATCAACGCATTATTATCTATGTTATTAATCCTGTCCGTGTGAATTAATTGCTTTCATAGATTTTAATGGTTATGGTCATCATTCATAAGTTTCCCAATTTCATAATACATTTATCAAGAATCACTGAAGTAAGCTTACTATTTAATCATGTGTGTCGTGGGCCCAGAAAGTACTGATATTCAAAATATTTAGAGGAAACGAAAGACAAGATGGTCCTGCTTGACAATCAGACGATTTGATCCTACATGTATAATATTAAAGTAAGGAGATGTGGTATGATTGTCAATGAGAAAAAGATCCACCAAAGTTCAAATGAAGTGTATGTAAGCAATTATAGGCAACAGTACGGCCTTCAACAATTTTTAGTGCATGGTATATGGTGTACACGATTCTATATTTTAAGAACTAGAAATTAAAGAAACGACAAACACGGCTTCCTCCGCCTCATTTTTAGACTTATACCTCGAATTTGACGTCCTCAATGTCTGAACAAAAAGTTGATGAACCAGGGTTATGTAAACAAAAGTCTCGTCCTTTTTCTAAAAAGTTCATTGGAAGATATCAATACCTTGTTGATAAATATTCCCTATCAACTTCACAAAAAATACATGATGGTCTTGAAGTATAGATTCTAGGTACTGACGTTGTTTATCATCTTAATTACGTGTTATAGTGTTTTTTTTATTGGCTTTGTATATTTAAACCTTTACTGTTTAGTCCATTTTTTGTAATATCCTTTTGGCGTTGTTCGGTATTTATATATTCCGCCATTGTGTTGTTGTGCTATGGTCATTTTTTTTTGTATTCTTGTCTTTAATTTTTGCTTATGTGCTTTGTCTATAGAGTGTCTATATGCCATTTTGTTTTTCTTTGTTGACATATGTGTTTGTTTTTATAGTGATTAAGATTATAACACAGTGTTGACTGTTGTACCCCTATTTTTGACATTTTGTACCTTTTAATAGAAATAAGAAGATGTTGTATGAGTGCCAATGAGCCAACTCTCCATCTAAGTCACAATGTGTAAAAAGTAAACAATTATAGGTCAAAGTACGGCCTTCAACACGGAGCCTTGGCTCACACCGAACAGCAAGATATAAAGGGCCCCAAAAGGACTAGTGTAAAACAATTCAAACAGGAAAACCAACGGTCTAATCTATATAAAAAACGAGAAACGAGAAACACTTAAGAACCACATCAACAAACGACAACCACTGAACAACAGGTTTTAAGTCTGTCTGTTTTGCTCTCACATTGTTGTCAATATAATGGATTTCTATGCGACTGTCATACAAGGTTTAGCTAGCTATAAAACCAGGTTCAATTCACCGTTTTCTACATAAGGAAATGACTCTACCAAGTCAGGAATATGTTTTCCATTCGTTTGATGTGTTTGAGCTTTTGATTTTGCCATTTGATAAGGGACTTTCCGTTTTGACTTTTTTTTTCCTTGGAGTTTGGTTGTTATTTTACTTTTTAGCTCACCTGGCCCGAAGGGCCAAGTGAGTTTTTCTCATCACTTAGCGTCCGTCGTCCGTCGTCGTCTCCGTCATCGTTAACTTTTTACAGTTTGAACTTCTTCTAGAGAACCACTGAATGGAA